TTTTTAAAGGCAGGCATTTTGCCTTTAAACAAATCAAATGTTCCCAGGTTTAAAATAATCCATCCACATGAAAACACTCTGCCCTTCAATGTAAAGATTAAGCCGCTTAGCAGTGTAGTTATGACAATACACGGGTGGGCCGCAATTACTATGATGTACTTGAAGATAAAGACTAAGACGCACTGCATTGTTCCACTAGGCAAAGGGAGACATATATATTGTCAAAATAAATACTTTAGCAACTCTGGAGTAAGTTTTTCTCCAGGCCTTGTCACATCATTGCTGTTATAGTTGGAACTGTTCTTCCTAAGTTCCGTTTGCTGCTGTTTGTTGGCATTTCGGTGTCTGTTTCCTTCAGTTTGGGTTTGAATGTGGTTCTGGCTTCTTTGTCTTTCGTTCGAGTTAAAAACAAATGCTTTTTCTTTCCCCGTCAACCTTCAGATGGCTCCACACACGGGTTAGGGTTAGCTTTATCCACCTCAAACCTCCACACAGTCTTTGTTGTATTAAGGCTTTGGCGAAAAGGGAAAGTGTTCCTTTTCTCTCACAAAACCACAATTTAGCAGAGGAGACTTCTTAGAAAATGGATTTGGACACATCAAAGCCCAAAAAGCTTCTCAGACATCAATCTGGGACCGAGTTCCTCGAGCTTCTAAACACTCTTCAGCCAGTTCAGAAATCTTGTATAAAATTTGAATAAAAAGATTCTAGCAGAAAACTTTCCATGTAAAAAATCTAACTTCCCCCCTCTTTTTTGTAGTTTATTATAACGTGATTATGAGCAATGTCCACTGCCATCTAACCTGTCTTCTTCTATTAGTCTGTTATTGTCTAGTAACAAGTCACAGGGAAGTGGAACTGTCCCTCTGTATTAAAAACTGAAAAAAAGGAGGAGAGGATGGAGTTACGATAAACATTTTCCTGCTTGGATTTCTTTTGTCTCATTAAGAAACCTAAACCGAATCTTCGCCCGGGTAATTTATTTTTCTTCTTCCTTCGCTTTGCTTGCTGTCAAATAGCTGTTTTCATCCTTTGTCCAGCAGACAATGGCATCTTCTTGAAAGCAGAGGCACGCGGCTAGGTTTTTTTTCTTCTTCTTTGCTTTCAGCAGGACTCTCTCTTTCAAAGAAGCAACAAGTGAGGACGCTAATGATGAGGAAGCTCTGCCTCTCGAATAAACCGAGTGTGTCCTTGAGTCGTGAAGACGAAAAGAAAAAAAAAAAGACTTTCAAGACTGTGCTGTACGGGGCTCCATGTGCTTTATCAGCCATTTAAATCATCCTGATGTTGATAACTGCTAACTGATCCTAACTGCCTCCTCGATGATCCTTAATAGGTTTAAAGCCAATCGAGGAGACATAGCCCGAAAGACAAACGTGGGGAGAAAAAAAGGGAGTCGGAGAAGGAAAATAGAGATGGACTTGTCAGCCGTGTCACCGTGGCAACCACAACCAAGACCCAGCAGGACTGCGTCTTGGTTGTGGTTACCAGACGGTTTCCTATTTTTTCCCCCCTTCCATTTTTTTTGTTGTTTTTTTTTGTTCCCAGGTGTTAGCGGTGATGATCCATGTGACATCGGGGGGGCCCTGCTGTCTGATTGTTTGCACGTGAAAACAATCCGCTATCTGCCAGGCAAGGAACCTTGACATTTAAAAGAGGCGGTTTGTCCGTTTTGGTAGCGCAGTTTACGAGGTTGGGGGGGGGGGGGGGGGGGGGAGGAAACGGGTTGCATGCTTGCTTGGCCTTCTGTTTTGTT